CGCCAGATGTTAGAGCAACTCCTCATCGCACAACAGCAACAGGCTGCCATGCCTGACAACACATCGGATCCACAGATGATGATGGATTCGTCACACCATCCAAGTGTGTCCCATAATACTCCAAGTCCTCTACATTCCCTTGGTACACGTCCGCAGTACGATTGGACTGCTCCGGACATTCTGTCTTCTTGCCTAAAATTGGATCGAGATCTCTTCTCTACCGAAAATATCCTCTCAGACGAAAGCCGTAGAGAGCTAATTGAAGCATATCCAGCACTACACAATGTCGAATATCGAGCTCCAGCGACTCTCCTTGCTGCTCAAAAATGCATGAACAAGGCCCAACAACTGGAAGACTCCTCCTTGCGGGATATTCAATACTTGCTTTCTGGAGTCTTCCGTCCATTAGACATCCTTGGGCATGAGATGTTGCAGTCTTCGGGTGTATCCGAAACTGATCTTGAACGTCATCTCAGCATACTCAACCACGCTCGGACCCTCCTGATTAACGCTTGTGCCACCATTACCTATTCGCGCAACAAGATTGCCATGCGCGCAGTTAATCCCTGTTTCAATGCTCCAGATCCTAGTGCTTCCAAGCGCTATACCATGGCTGCCGAAGATTTCCATCAAGCAATTACACAGCAAACATCTACTGCCAAGGCACTTAACGAGGCCCGGATTGGTTTTCGCTCTCCCAAACGGTCTACCAGTGAAAAATTTTCCAGACTTCCCAAATCAGGAAATCAGCTGCCAGGTACGACTCCAAGCTTCCCCTCAACCGATCCGCAGCCGTTTTTTCGATCAGGTCCGTCGTCTTCGCACGGCGGTTATCAACAACAGGTCAACCGCGGGACCTCCTCCAACAGCAAAAATCCTTTTCGACAAAAGGATCGCCAGTAATCTCGGCAGCTCTTCTACAGCCTCCTGTAGGCGGTCGACTCCAACAATCTTCACCCCAATGGGCTCGACTTTTTCAAAACAATTGGGTGAATACCGTCGTTCAACACGGCTTTCAAATTCCTTTTCACACAAAGCCACCTCTCTCAACAGAGTTCATTCATCAACACCAATATCTTTCAACCGATCAGCAGCAACAATTGGATCACGCAGTACAAGAGCTTATCAACAAAGAAGCCATCGAATTAGCACCACAACCCTTGGATTCCCCGGGATTCATCAGTCCCATGTTCACGATTCCCAAGAAGACAGGAGGTTGTCGGCCAGTGTTCAACCTTCGAGCACTGAACAAGTATGTCGATTGCCCACACTTCAAAATGGAGACACTTCAACAAGTCTCCTTAATGATTCAGCCGGGTGATTACATGACATCAATCGACTTGCCCGATGCGTTTCTCCATTTGCCTGTACATCCAGATCATCGCCGCTTCCTTCGCTTCCACTGGAAAGGCTCTCTTTACCAATTCAAGACGACACCATTCGGTTTATCCATTGTGCCCTACTGGTTTACCAAGATCACCAAGCCAATATTAGAATGGGCACGCAAACAGGGTATTCGCATGAGCGCCTACCTCGACGACTGGATTGTATTGGGCAAAACGAAATCAGAAGCGATCAAGAACACAGAGACGATCACCCAATGCTTGACGTCTCTGGGATGGCTAATCAATTGGAAGAAGTCGCAGACGCAATCGTCACAAGTCCTAGAACATCTCGGCTTCGAATTGAATACCATTCAGATGACAGCTCGACTTCCTGGAAAGAAACTTCGCGACCTTCGCAAATCCATCCAGCAGCTCCTAAAGACTCCACTGCAAACGCCGCGAACCATTCAAAGTGTGATCATGCGGGTCCAGGCAGCGACATTCGCGATATTTCCAGCTCGCCTTTTTACACAGCACCTCCTACACATGAAGAACAACCTCATGAAGAATCACCCAGACTGGGACCGACCTCACCACATGACCGAAGACAGTCGGCAAGAGCTACAGTGGTGGCTACACAACCTCAAGCACTGGAACGGCCGATCCATACTTCCGTCAACTCCAGCACACACTCTATATGTAGACGCCAGCAACACAGGTTGGGGGTGCGCATACAAGAACCAGAGAACCCATGGTTATTGGACAAACGAAGAAGCGAACATGTCCATCAACTGGAGAGAACTGAAAGCTGCATTCCTAGCTCTGCAGGCCTTCCCTCAGCTCAAGAACACAACTGTTCTTCTGCGCACGGACAATACCACATCCCTAGCGTACATCAACAAGCAAGGAGGAGCTCGATCTCACAGCCTGATGATACTTGCGACAACTCTTTGGAAGTGGTGCCTCCAACGAGGGCTCATGCTCATCGCAAGCCACGTATCCGGTACCGACAACACCGTAGCGGATTACGAATCCCGACGCTCATTTACAAAAAAACCAGTGGCAGATCAAGCCTATGATATTTCACAGCCTACTTCAGCCCAAGTGGGGTCCTCATGGGGTAGATCTGTTTGCAGACCGAACAAGCTACCTCCTCGAAAAGTACGTATCGTGGAAACCAGATCCAGGAGCTTGGAAGGTGGACGCATTAACGCTGAAATGGAACCAGTTACCGAACCCATATGCGAATCCACCTTGGAACCTACTTCTACCAGTATTAGAAAAGATACGCAGAGAACGAGTACCTTACATCACACTAGTAGCTCCCTACTGGCCAACGGCACTCTGGTTCCCTCTTCTACAGTCACTGGCGACACAACCATCTCTGTTTCTGACACACGAGGATATTCAGACAACCACCGTATCAGCACCATGGCCACTACTGCCGCAGTGGAAACTATCCGTTTGGCGGCTCTCAACACTGCATATTGCAACCCCGAATTAACAGCAATTACAGGGGATCTTCTGCGCACTCCACGCCTTGAAGACAGTGCCACTAATCGATCTTACAAACGTGGACAATCATTGTTTATAGAATGGGCTTTAGAACAAGATATATCAATGACCAACTTCACAGAGGTACATGTAGCTAATTTTCTTTCTGAAATGTTCGAATCAAGAGGATACCAACACACCACACTTCGTCTTTTCCGCTCAGCGATTACACACTTACATCACAGTCCTGATAGCATTCGAACGAGTAGATTGGTACACACTCTCTTGCATTCCATTACAGCCAAAGCTCCCCCAAAACCTCTACACCGTCCAACGGTCAACCTACGGCCAACCTTTAGTGCAATACAACAAATTGAATCCGGTGCGTCCTCAACACACTTATCCCAAATACAACAAAAGCTCGCGTTTTTGTTGGGTATGGCTGCCTTCTTAAGACCATCGGATATCCATCGTATTGATTTCACCACTGCCAATGTTACTGAAGAAAACAGTCAATACGTTCTTTCGTTCAATGTAGTGGCGCCTAAAGAAAAACGTGGTGGTCAGCGCATCATCAAACCTTTTCGGGTATCTAGTCATACCAACCCAAATTTGTGTCCTGTCACCACGTTCGTTCATCTACGTACTCGAGTTTCTCAACTGTCCCCTCCACCTTCGGTTACGTCTCTATTCGTCAATAGTATGGGCACAGCACAAATCGTCAAAGTTACTACTATTAGCTCTTGGATACGACGATTCATACAAATGTCGACAAACGAGCCTCGAGTAAATCTCCGATCACTTGCTTCCTCCTTAGCCCTCCGTGCTGGTATCCCTGTTGAAGATATCGTAACACTTGGCAACTGGTCCTCCTCGGATGTTTTCCACAACCACTATCGACGAGAACACTTATCGTTGATAGACTTTACAAACACAGTACTACAGGATCCAATAGAAGACCAAGATACCTTTTACGATGCCGAACCGGATTTTCATTAGATACATCTCTGGAGAAGCATATATATTATTCTTCCTTGTGTTTGTCTGACGGTCTCAGGTGATTCTTGAGAGAATACCTTCGACCTTGAATTACTATTTAGGCCAGAGGACAAACACAAGGAAGAATAATATCTCCCTCCCACCCTTTTTCCCTTTAGTAATGACCTTCGCTACAGATAATCAAGGAACAAATTATAGAAAAATTTAGACTTTTATTGTATATTATTTTAAGTTCCGCTCAATAAACCAATAAGATGATTAAAGCATATATATTATTCTTCCTTGTGTGTGTCCGGCGGTCTCGGGTAGTTCTTGAGAGAATACCTTCGACCTTGAATGTTATTTATACTATATTATTTTTTTGTTAGTGTTATTTTCCTTAGGAGTTGTAAGAGTTGATATTATTATTGGCCAACGCAATTTGTTCGGGCATGTCAATGTGAGGTAAGCTTGATAATAGATCGTTAAGGAATTCGAGTTTGTAAATTTTTTTAGTTGCTTTTAGTCTTGAAGTCTTGTTTTTTTATTTGATGTCCCTCGTATTGACCACCAAATGTTATTTTCCTTAGGAGTTGTAAGGGTTGTTGTTAATATAGAGAGTTTTCTTGAGATTTTATAGGTTTAGGTGCTTGATGTGACTACCAGATCTTTTAAAGTTGATCAAATTGTGAAGTATAAGTAAAATAAAGGATAAAAAGAAGAGATCAGGAACTTTTAGAACAAAAGGTTGCCTGTTTCTTTGAATAATAAGATAAAAGTATGAATTGAATTGATTTTTTTTGACTACTACAGAAGAAGATATTTATATCATTTCATTGTTTATGATCTCAACCTTTCAAACAAAACGAAAGTTTTCATAAGACCGATAATTTTCGTTCTAGCGACAAAAGTCGCTATTTTGAAAATCGTCGGCTTGATCGGGTGTGACAGTGTCACTTTCTTGATTACAATACCAAAAAGGGTATTGTAAAACCTTGTTGGCCTTGGGTTTGAGTGTGTTGTAAAAGGTAATAAAAATAGAAGTTTGTGTGTTCGTAGTCTTTTGTAAGACTTGAGGCTCGTAGCAAAAGTGTTTAAAAGGTAAAGTTATAATAAAGGTTTGATGTGTGACCACCAGATCGTGTAAAGTTGATCAGACTGAGTTGTACAAAGTAAAAAGAATAATAAAAAAAAGATAAAAAGGTTCCTGAATCCACTTGATTGGATTATTCAGAAGTTAAAAAAAGATAAAAATAAAAAGGAAAAGGTTGTGATTCAAATCGTAAGTGATTTATTGAATGATTTGAGCTTTTTGCAAAAGCATTGCTCTTTTATACTTGATAAAAAGTAATTAGAGTTTTGATATTTAAGGTTTTGATAATTATAGTTTTGATATTTAAAGTTTTTTTTTTTTGAAAACTGTGCTACAATATTGTTACTGGGTGTTAGTAAGGGAAAAAGTGTTAGTAGTAAGGTTAAAAATAAGTTTTATATGTAGAATTTGGTATTGTAGTGACCACCAGATCTTATTATAAGATCAATGTAAAGCAATATAATGCTAAGTCTTGTGAGATAAAGTAAAA